ATATGTATACATATACATATATATACACACATATATATATATATACATATACATATATATATATATATATATATACAAACTAGAAGGTACTCGCGTAATGCAGCGAGATATATATTCATTTTAATGTTTTGTTTTATTTGTTGTCTTTGTTGATATAACACAGTTTATGTAGTTTTGAAAAAGATAATGTTTTTACTTTTAAATAAAAATAAATTTGAAAACATCATAAATTTTTTAAAAAATATATCGTTATTAATATCAAATTAACTATTTAAAAGTTCTTGTTTTTATATAATTTATTTAATTTATTTTTTTATTATAATTTAATTTAGGTCAAATAGTAAAGTAATTTATATTTGGCTTAACAATAAAATTTTTATAAAGATAATTATCTTTNTTTTTTATTATAATTTAATTTAGGTCAAATAGTGAAGTAATTTAATTTTGGCTTAACAATAATTTTTTTATAAAGATAATGATTATGTTAGAACTCGATAATTATCTTAATTATATTTTAGATTTTTTATATTTTAAAATGAGATGTTTATCCTCTATTTGATTATGTTTATCCGCAGTTAGTTACACGAATTTAAACATGGAGCTTTAATAAGTTGTACTTATGCATAATTTACTTGTAATCTTGAATTTTAAGTAATATGCATCAATATATAGTACTTCATGCATAAAAATGGTTTTTTAGAGTTTTTGTCAAATGCTTTATAATATAGTGTATATATATAGGGGCACGTTCAAATGAAAACCGTGCATTTCTAAGAAACCGTGTAAACCAATTTCGACCAATAGGAAAATTCTACTTTTTTCTAATTAAATTTAATCAATAAGGGTATTTCGGTCATTTACAATATTTTCTATTAAATATGAAAGTTATTAATAAATCTTAATTAAGAAAACGTAATAAAGGAAATTGTACAAATGGCAACATTTAAATATTTAATTATATTATAATATTAAAAATTTGAATTTGATATATTGTTAAGAGATTGAATCTGCAAACGAGTCTTGAAAATTGAATTATGGTTCAAATTAAAAAAAATAATGTTAATGAAACAGATTTTATGGAGGTGAAATTGGTTCATGTTGTAATTGATTCATGAGTAATATGAAATCGTTTCATGGTGAACCACGTTTCAGTGATGGTGTAGTTGATCAGTTTAGTAGAAAAAATGAAACATGAAACGGGTGCATAATTTATTCGGTTCGTCATGAAATAATTGCATGATGAAACGGATACATGATGAATCTGCTTCGGGATCTTGAAGATTGTAATCTGCTCCAGAATATTGAAGATTGTAAAGATTAAAGGAAAGAATGCATCAAATCATGAGTGAAATAAAAAAAATTAATTTACATGAAACAGGTTTCATGGAGGTGAAACTGGGTCATGTTGTAATTGATTCATGAGTAATATGAAATCATTTCATGGTGAACCATGTTTCAGTGATGGTGTAGTTGATCCGTTTAGTATAAAAAAATGGAACATGAAACGGGTGCATAATTTATTTGGTTCGTCATGAAATAATTGCATGATGAAACGGGTACATGATGAATCTGCTTCGGGATCTTAAAGATTGTAAGGAGTAAAGGAAAGAATGCATCAAATCATGAGTGAAATAAAAAAATTAATTTACATGAAACATGTTTCATGAAGGTGAAACTGGTTCATGACGTAATTGAACAATGAGTGGTGAACTGCTTTCATGGTGAAACCCGTTTCAGTGATGGTGTAGGTGATCCATTTAGTAGATGAAATGAAAAATGAAACGGATGCATAATGTAGGCGGTTCGTCATGAAATAATTGCAAGATGAAAAATAAATTAGTTTCATTAATAATAATAAAATGGTAACGTAAAAATAATAAATTACTTTACAAAAAATAGATTAGTTTCATTAATAATATGATATACATGATATGGTTTCCTTGAATAAATGAATATTTGGTTTTACCCTTTTGCCCTTATCGGTATTATAAAATATATTTTCAATTTTTTTAATTTTTAATTTCTTTAAATAACCTTGATTAATCTTAACCATTGATCAAGAAAATGGATGGGTGAGATTGATTTACACGGTTTACACAAATGAAGGCGGTTTTTATTTGATCGCTCCTCTCTCTCTCTCTCTCTCTCTCTCTCTCTATATATATATATATATATATATATATAGGGGGAAGATCAAATATTAACCAACAACTTTGTGTTAACTTTGAAAACCATGGCAACCAATCAAATTCCATTCTTCTTGTAGGTTTATGTCATGCACACATTTTAATTACAAGGGTATTTCAGTAAATTTATTTGATATGTAACTCCCAAACAATTAATGGGGAGTTACAAATCATCAACTCCCAAAAAATATGCATTTATAATATTAATAATTTTTTTTAATCTTAATCTTTCATGTTTATTGTTTTATCAGTTTTTAATTCGCATAGAAAAAACGGTAGTAAAAATTTTCGGTATCGATCAAGCTAATATAGACAAACACAATGGAAAATAAATCGACAACAGTGAGAAGATTAAAATGGTTTATGATGACAATCGGAGTTCGAGGTCGGGAATTGAAGAAATTAACCAAATCGAATGTCTTGGTATTATATTTTTATTTTTTTAGATTCGTTTTAATCGAAATTATGTTCATTACGATGTGTTGTATTTTTTATAACTCATCTTATATTGATATCTTTTTTCTTTAATTATTAAATATGTACCTAATTCACATGTTCAAATGGAAGCACATGCACGACCCATTTTCATATTGTCATATTACCGACTTTTATGAATCATGAACCATTGTGTTCATGTTACTTCTATCATATGAACACAAATGTTATATTTTAGCTTGATACCAAATCTTTATATTTGTGTAAGTGTTTGTATCCGGTGTTCATAGCGTTGGGGTTATGTGTTCATATATTTTATACGATATGAACAAGAGGTGAACACGATATGAACAAAGAGTGAACAACCATATAAGATCAGAAACATATATGAACAAGGGGTGAACTTTAAACAGTGTGGATGTAATGCATGTATAAAACTCCAATTGACAAAGAATCGCTCCTGAATGTGTTTATAATGAAGAAAAACTATTGTTCACAAGCTGTTCATATCGTGTTCATACTTGTTTTTTTATTTATTTTCTTTTGTATAACAATTATTTTTATTATGTTCATATTGTGTTTATAAATGCTATGCAGTCCAAGTTCATATATATGTCAAATTTTTGTTCGTATTTGACACAATGGTTCATATATATATATATATATATATATATATATAGTTGTGTTCATATGGTTCTTACATTAACAAAAATAAATTAACAAAAAATCATAGAATTTTGATTTTGTAACTCCCAATTAATTAATGATATGGGAGTTACATAATTTTTTTATACCTAAATACCTTTTCAACATTGTTCACTTATCTTTATGCAATTTTAATTTTAAAAAAAATAAGTTTTTATCATGATTAATCACAACCGTTTATTGAAAGATTGAATGGACAAGATCGGTTAATAAAGTTAACACAAAAACTTTGGTTAACTTTGATCTTACCCCTATAT